ACTGAATGACAAGCCAAACGAGAATGAGTTTTTAGATTAAATTGGATATACAATCTTGTGACGTTGTGAGAGTAGGTCAAGGTCAGTAGATGAAGCAGGTTCAACTACATTTAAAATGTACTTTTAGACTTTGTCTGAGAGTGAGAGAATTGTTATTTGTCAAAATAGGAATGTCAGCAATTTTGTAAGAGTTCTTCGAAATAAATAAATGAGTTTTTTTGGAATCAAAATTCAAAAGCTACTGCATGCCCTAAGCTGTTACTGAAAAAAATCTGATTGAAGATCAGCTGCCTATTCTAAGCAATCAAAAAGTGAAGACTTTTTATCAACACAATAGTATAGTGGAGGCCTTCGAGGAGGACTGCACTCTTTTGGATGTTATTGTTATCATATCTTTTTCCTTCAGCCAATATAATTTTTGTTGGTGACTTCAATACTCATCACACTGAATGGCTTGGCTCTAGTGTCAGTGAATCGAATGTGACAGGTGCAGGTGTTAAGGCTTGTGGCTTTTACCTTTCTCAATCTCTAACACAATAGTCATTTTTCCAACTTTTTCCAGTCTTTTAAAAATTCAGTCTATTGCAATATGATTATTTGAAAAACTTTTTTTTAACTAATATTTTCAATCGTTAGACCACTTTGAATTGCAAAGTTGTTTTCCGTCCTGAAAAAAAACAATAAAGTATGCGGGCGGGCAGCATAATTCCATTATTCATTATTTCATTATTTATTTATTTTACATTTTTTTTATAGATATGTAAACAGTTAGGTTCTAGGGTTATTTTTCTGACCAGTGCACAAAGGGCCTGATATTAGACATATGCTAGACAAAATTATTCTGCTCTTTTTTTTCATTACTAAAACGTTTTAAATCTCTAAACAAGCACTTTGTATTAAGATATCTTTTATTTTATTATAAATTTTCGTTAAATATCTGATAATACTAAAAATTATTAATCAAACTTTTTAAAACATGTATTTATTATGATGTAGATACCTAAAAAATATAGCCAAGAAGGTTTTTAAAATGAACATAACTGACTCATGTTATTTATACTTTTAGAGGTCAGGATTGCGGCAGATTGATTTTTAGCGATAAGCTTTAGTCTAAAGCTAATCAGTTTATAAAAGAGACTCAAAAACAGTACATTAACAAATGCATCATGTAAGAAAAATAAATCTTTAGCGTTTTCAGGTAATTATGTACGTTTTTTTGCCACAGTAGTACTATACCTATAAAAAAAATACTATAAGTATGATAAACCTGGTATAATAAGACCTGACGAGCCTATATAGATGTTTGATCTAGGTCGTATACGTTTTGCAAAAATTTGCAAGACTTTGTACAAAATAAGGTTGTTTTTATTTTATTATAACGTACACCATAAAGGCGCGACGGGGCTTGTCACTCGGACTAGTACTGCGTATTTTTTTATTTTTTTTGTTCTCATACTTTTTTTAGAGTTGTTAGTCTTTGGCCTTGCCTTAAATTTAAAAATTAGGTCCTTGGCCTTGACTTTACACTATATGCTTTTGAATTATGAATTTTCTTGACTATTTTATAAACATCGTCATTTCATAATTTCTTCAACTAAAACTACAATTGACCTCTAGCATGAATTTTTAATAAAATTATGTGGTGCAAATTTTAAACAATGTTTTATTACAAAATAAAACATCTTTAAGACCTTGTAAAAAAAAAAACAGAATATATTTGAAACGTCTTTCTTGCTCTTCTCAACATAAAAATAACAAAGAAATAAAAGTGTTATTGTAATATTTTCTATAAAATATGATTATAGTCTATAAAACTAATACTGTAATATAATAATGGTCACAGAAAACATGTTCGCAATACATTGCTTTTTCTTAGTACTAAGAAAAAGTAATGTATTGAGAACGTGAAATTTCGTGCCATTTTTTTAAACATAATTGCTAAATCAAGTAAAAATTCTTATTGCTGATCATAAAATCTTTAAATCGGACATCTTCAAACTGACTTTTAACATTTAGGTTTTTAAAAAAGTCTACAAGTTTTGTTATAAAATCAACAGTTTCACATGAATCCTGCATTTCTGGATGAATCTTTTGTGCAATTAATGTTTCAGCGCAAAAAATCTGAAGACTTAATGCAACATTCTGTTGTTTTATGGGTTTCGGACAGATAGACATTTGATTGAGCTTTGATAGTTTAACAATAGAGTTTTTCTCCAGTATACTAAAACTCAAACAGTATATTTAAGTAAATCCACTTGCAGTTTTTTCAAGGCCACAGTCTGAATATTTTAACTCTTAAATTTTTTCAGTTAACCAAATTTTTGTAAGAGATTTGATTAGGTGGATATAATCGTAGAGCAAAAAAATGTTTTCAGTGTCCTCCATGGAGAAATCAAAATGAATTTTTTAAAGAATGCTTGATTTACTCTGTTATTATCACACAAAATTGCAACAGTATTGCCATTACACGAAGAAATAAATTTATCATATCACTAACTTGCTCATATTGAAAATCAGTACTTAAATGATACACTAGCAGAGCTTTGTATAAAGTTTTTTTACCTCCAAATACTGAGCAAATCGTAAAACTTATAACAGTGGTTGCAAAATGTTCTTGATTATTTACAGCTTTTCCAAATAAATTACCGTCTTGATATGTTAGTTGTGGTTTTGCATAAACTTCGTCAATTATAATAATCACATTTTTTTGACAAGGATCATTAAAATGCATAAAATATTTGTTAAGAAAATCAACATCTTTTAATTTAGCAACGTTTGATATAAGTTTACTAAATGTTACATACTTGACATTTCATAATCATCTTTAATACGATTTTAAAGAGATCTTGAAATTACAAAATACTCAAAAGCCCTACTTAAAATTTCTGGTGAATATTTTTATTACCAACAAATGTTAATACATGCATGCTAATAATTGGTTAAAGGATAATTTTTTTTTATCCATTTCGAATGAATTTAAATATCAAATAGCTTCAATAATTTGTAAGTAAGATAAAATTTTATGTATTTGGTTACTGCATAGTGGTTTAATCATGCATCTAGATCCACAATGAAAGCCTTCAAGTTACATATTCATTTTAATTTTTAAAAGAAACTGTGGAATGACAGAGGTATTAATATAACTTTTACTTTATTATTATTATTAAACCATCATCCTCTGTAAAGGATGTTACTGTGAAAGTAATATTCTCTTAGCTTACTTTTTTGCAAAGGTCATCAAAACAATTAATTTTATACAAATTCAGTGATATAAAATTTCATCAGCATTTGTTACGTGTAGATGGTAGTAATTTTTTTGTTGTTCTTTTTTTGGTAGAGGTGTAGAAATTTGACTTAGTAATACACAGATAAAAATAGTTGGTGGATTTACAGGATGAAATTTTACCATAAACTTGACAGGTTTCATAATCAACTGGCCAATAATTTTTGCAAATAAATGTATTTGGACTGTCTGGAATATTTTTCCTTAATATTGTATGAATTTCTTCCTCTGATAACAGAAAAGGTTTTGCCTTATGTTTTTTGTCATAATTGCCTTTGCAACCAGTTACACAACATTTAAAGGGCATGATTTAATTTTCTCTTTAAATATAATTTCACTTTTTCTAAATATAGAAAATATATTGCATATAAGATAGTATTGATTATCAAACACTTTTTAGTAACAAGCAATATATATATATATATATATATATATATATATATATATATATATATATATATATATATATATATATATATATATATATATTGCAATATATATATATATATATATATATATATATATATATATATATATATATATATATATATATATATATATATATATATATATATATATATATATATATATATATATATATATATATATATACATACATACATATTTAGCTAAGTTTTTAGGATATAAACAATGTTTAAAAATGCACATAATGTTTAACAAAAATAAAACTTAACAACGCTGTTAAACCAACCAACATTCTCCATTTTTGTTTATTTTTGTTTTTGGTATATAAACATTCGCCTTTAGTTATTATTATTATTTTTTTGCGGCCTGTTATTAAGTAGGCCGTGAAAAAAAATGGATTAATGATGCAACAAACAAATAATGGACAAAATCGTTTTATTTTAAAATATAAAGCGGACGGGGACGGGTAACAACTTTGCAATTCATAGCGGCCTTATTGCAATAATGTAGATTTTCTTATAGACAATTTTTAAAATTATGAGCCATCTTAGACAGAGAAGGTTAATAAGATCAGACTTGAGTTAGTGACACTGTTGAAGATTTTCACTGTTAAAGTTTTATGGTTATAATCATACGTGTTTGCTATTTATTCATTTTCTGGCATGCAATATCCTTACATATTTGTATAAACTTTAGCATTTATATGGTGTATTGTTTTCTAAATGAGAAGATGATGATTAGATGAATGTTTGTTATGAATCTTAGAATTAGAAAAACATTGAATTTAGAAGAATAAAGTAATATGTAGAGACTTAGCAGCTTCAAGAAAAAATGGTAGGGGTAGAAGTAAGAAAACCTGGAGAGAGTGCCTTACATAGCATGAACAAGCTTTAGTTTAAGAGAGATGCTTAAGATGTGGTGCATTATTATATATAAAGATGCTCAAGATTGTTTGTATAAGAGGAACAGCACAAAAGAGTTTTTTTTTTTTGGGAAATGGTTTTGAAATTTTAAAGTATTTTCTTGTTTTTAATGTTATTAATTTTTATGAAATTATTATAGAGTTATTTTATTCTCAATATTTAGTACAAACTTTGATACAAATATTCTTTCCATTAAATTATTTGAATATTATGGATTTAATATTTACCACATAATGTTAAACATTGGGATAGGCACAGGGGGCGGAGAGGCAATAGTCTTCCCCCCCCCCCCCCCCCCTTTAGCCCCTGTTTACTTTGAAGTTAAGGGTTGAGATAGATTTGCCATATAAATTTTTTTTTTTTAACAGTAGTCAAATCAAGGATGCCCTCAGACTTAGGTATGTGAACCAAATTCAATTGAAAAAAAAACAATATTTTCTCAAGAAAAAGGTATAAAGTTAAAATTAATCAGTTTTAGATGAATTACATTTATATATTACAAAAGTGTTTTCCGAAGCTTTCTTTTATACTTTCAAAACTGTTTAACAAGTGCTTATCAGAGTCTTGTTTTCCTTTAATTTTCAAACAATCTCTCATCTTGAATCACTTTTCTTCATTTCCTGTAACTTCAGGGGCTCCTCAAGGATCTATCCTTGGCCCTATACTTTTTTTAATTTACATTAATGATCTCCCAGAAATTCTTACATCTAAGGTGGTGTTGATTGCTGATGATGTTACCATTTATTTTTGTCTTGATAAGAATTCAACACTCTCTGATGGGCATTTGAGCTTGAAAAAGATCTTGCTTCTGCTACAGCATGGAGCACTCAGTGACTGCTGAACATTAACTTAGTCAAAACTCAATTTTTTTCAGCTAATACTTATCACAACAATATATATCTTTCTAAATTTATGAACAGTAATGTACTTGATGAGTCACCTAGCCTTCTTTATCTAGGATTAACCTATACTGGTGATCTTTCTTGAAAAGTATATATCAAATCCGCTGCAAAATTAGCATCTGCTAAGGTTGCATCTCTTTATTCTACTTGCTATTTTATTACTCCAGTTTCTCAACTTTTTACTGTCACTATTTACAAGTGTTTCAAAAAAAGAATTGTCAATTTTTTTTCCTTGAATATCAGTTGATCGATGTTAATTGTTATTTTGTTTTATAGTTACCATAGTTACATTTTTATAAAATAATTGCCAAGAAATTTTACAAAAGAGTATGTTGTTTTAAGGTTTTATTAATTAAGTTTAATGGGATTTTTTTGAAGAGTTTGTTTAATTTCTAGATATCTAGATGAAAACTCACCCGTTACTGTTGATTTTGAAAACCCTGTCAATCAACCACTTACCCATAGTTGTAGCGTTGCATCTCTTTTCTACAAATACTATCATGGCCAAACAAGTTATTTACTCCAGTTATTTGTTCCACCAATCATAACTCAAGCCTGCATTACTCACTATTCAACCATTTTTTACTTTTTTTTTGTTTCTTCAGAAACAAAGATGCTGCTTAAACTCAAACACATTTTTTCGTGTTTTAAAAACTTTCTTTCTTTCATTTATCTAGACTCTTTCCTTGTTCATCAATTCTTTAGAATTTTCTCCTACCTTAATTTTTTCCTGACTTTTAGAAAAATCAGTTTTTTAAGTCTTCTGTCAACCTTTTTTTTTTCTCTTAGAAATTTTTTTGTCATTTTATGATCCCAACTTATGTAGTGGTTGCTTGCATATATGTTAGATGAAAATTGATAAAAAAATGTTTCTGAATTTGAAGTGTAAATCAAGGTTTGTGGCACTTCTATATGCTAAACGTTTTAAATGGTATTTTTCAAGTTGTCTAGTTGTTAAAGAGGTTTTGCTCAAAGACAGTAATTTTGATTTAAAAAAATATAGCATTAAATAAAACTATATTTATATATTTGATTTGAAAATAATTTGATTTAAAAATAGCATTAAATAAAACTATATCTGTATATTTGATTTGAAAATAGCATTTAAATAAAACTATGTTTAGGCATTTATCTCTGTTTTTACTATATAGTTACTTATTATTTTCTTTAGTTACTTATTATTTTCTTACCTTTTTCTTTAGTTTCAATTATTACTTAATTAAGTTATGGTTTTGAACAATATGTTCAAAACCATAACTTATTTAAGTAATAATAATTATTGTTGACTAAAAAGTTAAAAAAAAAACTATCTTTAGGAATTTGTCTTGTTTTTACTAAGAACTTTAAGTTTCATATTTCTTATTTTCTCAGTACTTTTTCATAAGTTTCAATCCTTCATTGTTTAAAACCACTTATTTAAGTAATAATAATTATTTTTAACAAAAGGTTAAAAAGAAATAAACTTTGTCAAACCATAAAAACTTTTACATCTTTTGTAGCATTTCCACATAAAATATTGTTAAGAAAGTAATTTTTTTTGCATTTTAATTCAATTCAGTTTGTTAATAAAATGTCATTTAATGTTATTTAATTAAAATTCTGTTTGTTAATGTCATTTAAATGTTATTTAGATTAAATTTTCATTGTCAGTTAATACTTTGCTATTGCTAGTAATAAAATATTTGCTAACTAGACTATACATTGTTTTTTACATTTGTGCTTTTATCCAGTTTTTGTGTTTCTTTGCTCACAAAAAAAGGTTTTAATGAAATTAAAAAGTTTATAATAAAATTGAATCATTTAGAAACTTTGAATTCATCAGAAAGTTCTACCAGAACTTCTTCTAAGAAAGGTAATAATAATTTTTTTTTTATTTAAAATTACTCAACATTTTCTTTTTAAATGTCAAGTACTTCGTTACAGTGTTGTAAAAATAATATTTATTACTATTATTATTTTTTTTTTATGCAAAATGTTTTTCTCATATCTTTTTGAATTAAAGATTTTTTTTTTTGTACTTTTAGCTATAAAATTTAAAATCCTAAAAATGTAACACTTTTATGATATATATATATATATATTTTTATGTTATCCTTTTTTAGTTAAGTATTAACTTTTTTTTATTATGACTAACATGCTTAGTTTTGCTGCTTGTTCTATTTTTGTTACAAATCAATAATTTTCTTTATTTCTTTAAATGAAGAAAATGCTTTAAAAACTAAAATAGTTTCCTTTTTGATTTACGTTCATTACAATTTTTTGAAAAAACAATTTTTGAGAATTCTTTTTTCCGACAAGAAAATGTTCTCAATGAAATATATAACTGTCAAAAGAATCAAGTCTCCGAATCAAGTTGATGCTGTTAAAAAGTTTGGTAATAAATTATGGTTAGAAGTTTGTTCAGAAGGCGTAACATTTTTGGTTGTATTAAATAATGGCACAGTAAATCATCATTAAAATATAATGACAAAGTTCTAGACTGCAGAAAATAACCTATTTAGAGATGATTAGATGTTTCAGTAAAGTGGATACCAAACCTCATGCTCACAAACTTTCTCCAAAATAGTGTAACAATCGTTTTTTAGATTTATTGACAAAAATCATTGCCCAACAAATTCTCCTGACTCTTTAGACTACTTTATTTGAGACTAATTTGTTCACCAAATTAACTGGAGCAAAAAGTAAAAGAAAAATTTAGATGCAGAGCTCAAACAAGCTGTGAAAAAAAGTATAAAAATAAAAGCTGTGGTTCTAATTGGGAAAGAAGTTGTACTGGAGTGTAATAGAAAGTTGTAATAGAAAGCATTAGAGATTTTTTACATTGATAAACTAAATGTGTTTAACTTTTAAAAGTAATTTTTTGAGAAAAAATTTAAATAGATAGAATGAAAAATTTACTGGATTAAAAGCAAAATAAAAATGTTTGGTTCTTTATGTGCAACAAATTATGTCCATTTATAAACAAGTTAGCTTAGTTTGGTTACTTGTTCTATCATTGTTACTGATCATTAATTTTGTTTTATGTATCAGAAGCTCATTTAAGTCCCTATCATTGTGTGTATTATATCAATATTTTAAATATTCTCCACTAATACTGTTTGAATAACACAATTTTGTTATATTCATATATTAAATGTTACATTAATTAGATTTTCTTTGAAACTTTACTTAATGGCAATAAAAAAATCTAATTAGTTATTATAATTTTTTTTAAACAGAGTTTTTTACTTTAGTACTTTTTTACTTTTCAGTTTATATTGATGAACTATAGTTTTAAAAGGGGGTTGTATCAACAATGTTTAAAAATTTAAACTTAAAAATTTATTGAGTAAATTTATTTAAAAATAAATATAAGTATTAGAAGAAAATACTGACTTTGCACACGATAAGCATAACAGTAGATGTTCTTGGTTTTCAAAATACTAGAGAAAATTTCAGGATTTTTAGCATGTACAGTTGCATGAAAAGTATAAGAATTATCTACAAATTTTATTGATTTCACTGTTTAAAACATGTGTGTTTAAGTTTTTTTGTTAAGGTTTTTTAAATAAATACAAGTAGAAAAATTTTTTTTCATGTTATGTTATTATGTGAGTGTGTTTAGCTTTCTATTTACCTGATTTGAAAGTGGAACATGTAACGAAAACATAACGAGACCATACTAGACAGAGTGACTAGAGTGTTAGTTGGTTCTCCCTTTGCCCAGGAGCATTTAACTTCGTTTTTCACCTTCACAAAGTCTGATCACTCATTTTATATTTTTTTATGATTTTTATTTTTTATTCAATGACACCATCTTCTAACTGCTTTTATTGTCACATCTCTCAGGTCTACGAAACTGGAAGGCTCCGTTGGTCACTTTTTGCGATCATTGTGTCGCATAAACAAGAGGAAAAAAAAAAATAATAATAAAAATAATTATATAACTAGTTATATATATAAAAATATAGATTAATTTTTTATTCTTTTAATGTAAATCTATGGAAAATATTTGTACGATTGATTTTCTAAAAATAAGACCTTCAACAACTGCATTCTCAATAAAATTCAAAAAATAATAATCATCAAAGTTACTAATATATAAATATATAAAAAAACCCACATATATAAAATACACAAACATACAAATATATAAAAAAAGCCACTCTCTAAACTTCTTCAGCGGTATTATAAAGCAGTTTTGCTTCCTCTTCATAAATATATTTTATTTTTTTAGTTTAACCATAAAAGATTGTATTCAAATAACTTGATGCAATAAAAACATGCTTCAAATATAAAAACATTCTAAGGTTCTTAGTTTATAATAAACTGTTATAAAATACTTAGATTAAGATGAAAGTGATAAAAAAAATTCATGATAAAAAATACTTAAATTAAATAATATTAAAATTTTAGTTTTTTTAATTTATTTTAATTTATTTTAAAAGTTATTTTAATTTTTGTATTTTTTTATTTACTCTATTGTTAAGATTTCTTTTCTTAGTTTAAATTCAGATGTTTTTTATTTGTTAAATCAAGATTAGTTTTTTCAGCGCTTTTTCAGTTTTTTTTGAAATGTTAAAATTTTCAAAAGATATTAACAGCCATGTAGTTGCCAAAAAAAAAAGTTATTTTTCAACAAAAAAGCAGTTTTTTTGTTTTTTAAACTTGTTATCTCTCTTTAAGACAATGCTTAGCTGTTTGCTTATCACTTTTCACCATTCTTATTTCTTGTTTCCTCTAATCACATGATATAGCTGACTAACAGGGTAATCCATTGTTTGACATTCGTATCCCTTTAGCTTCTGTATCTAAAGTGATTTCCTGTTTGCCAACATTTGTTGTCCCTATTTTTAAATTTCTAGAGAATGCCCTGATTTGTCTAACTACTGTCCTATTATATGTCCTATTATAATAATATATTATTTGTCCTATCATAAACAAGGCTTTAATGTTCAAACACTTAATCTCTCATCTTGAATCACTCTTCTACATTTCCTGTAACTTCCAGAACTACTCAAGGATTTATTGTTGGCCCTATACTTTTTTTAATTTACATTAATTATCTCCCAGAAACTCTCACATCTAAGGTGGTGTTGTTCATTGATGATATTACCATTTATTTTTGTCTTGATAAGAGTTCAACACTCTCTGATTGCTTGCAGGGGGCAATATAAGCTTGAAAACGATCTTGCTTCTGCTACATCATGGAGCGCTCAGTGGTTGTTGAACATTGACTCAATTTTTTTTTTTTAATTTTTTTGTAATACAAAAAATTTTTTGTATTACAAAAGACAAAACTCAATTTTTATTTAATTTTTATTCTACTAGCCATTTTAATACTCCAGATTCTCATCTTTTTTATTATTCATAAGTATTTTTATTATTTTTTTGTTTGGAATTCGATGTTAATTGTTGTTTTGCTTTATTAGTTTAATAGGATAGGATTTTTTTGAATTTTTTTTAATCTATAGTATCTAGATGAAAACTCCCCAGTTGCTGTTGATTTTAAAAACCCTGTCAATCAACCACTTACCAATAGTTGTAGCACTGCATCTCTTTTCTACAAATAATATTATGGTCAAACAAATTACACCAGTTATTTCCACTATAACTCACTTAACAACCATAACTCAACCATTCAACAAAGTTGTAATTTTTTACTTTTTTTTTTGTCACAAAGTCACAAAAATAAAAAAATTGAGTTAATTACATTTCTCCATTTTATAAACTGAAATCTATAATCTATTAAAATATTAAATCAAAATAAAGTCCTAAAAATATTCAAGGGATATCTAAACATTTTCAAAACATGCTAAGTCAAACAGGTTTACAGCTTCAAATGTAAATTAGTAGAAAATCACCTAACAAAAATTTTTTTTATTTTACACTGTGTTTCATCAATAATGAATCATCAAAAAAAAAATTATTTTTAGGCATGGACTAAAACCACCATTAAAATACTATTGCCAATATGAACTTAAAACCATATATAAATGCTCTGAAATAAAAGATGTTGACCTTTACCTTTTTAGTGCTCATTTTTATAATGCTATAAAAAAATGTGACCAAGATAAATTTATATTAAAGTTTTTGTCTGTTCAGAAAAAACAACAATATAGAAAAAAAAGAGCAATTTTATACTAAAAAAATTAGGAGCAGGTCTAATTGTGAAACTAGTTATTTTTGGAAAAAGAAAACAGACAAATAGTGCATGTTTGCAAAGACACTTTTTTAACATGCTTACATGTTGGTAAAACTTGTGTTCAAAGCATTGCAAAACATTTCTTTACGCATGGTAATCCTAGAAAAGAAAACAGAGGTGGTGATAAAAAAAGCCATAAATTCAAGGATAAGCGAAAGGCTGTGATAGAATTTATAAAGAGTCTTCCTGGAAAAGAAAGTCATTATAGCAAAAGGAAATCTATAAAACTTTATCTACCATCAGAGCTTAAAAGTATTAAAACAGTATGGAAATTTTATGCAGAAGGGGAACCCAATTTAATTTAGGGTTTGGTTCTCCTAAATCAGATGCATGTTTATTTTGTGAAAGAATTCGAAACCAAATGCAGATTGAAAATGACTCAGAAAAGAAGAACAGTTTAATTACTGATTTAGTTGTTTATAAGCATAGAGCAAATTGTTTATAAGCCTAGAGCAAATGCATTCTATGATCTTTTAAAAGAAAAAAAAGATAGTTTAAAAATTATTTGCTTTGACCATCAACAAAACCAAGTCATCCCTAAAGTTCCAGATATGCAAGCTTATTATAGTAGATATACTATACATATACAACTTTTATGGTATAGAAAATAAAAATAACGGATCTTTAAATCAAGATAATGTCACTATCTATACTTGGAATGAAAGCGATTTCAAAAAAAAATAGCTCTTCTTTTTCCAGTGCAGTATTTGACAAGCTCTGCAATACAAACATGGATGGCATAGACACTGTTCATTTAGTTTCTGATGCATGTGGTGGTCAAAATAAAAATGTTGCTTTAGTTTATATGGTAGGCTTCTGGCTGTTAAGACATGCACCAATATTAGTTAAATATTGCTGCATGTCTTAACAATATATATTTTCCAGAAGAGTACTATAATGTTTACAGTAACCAGGGAACAGTGAAAATTGCAGGAAAAGACTGGAATGTGTTGGATTTCAAATCAGTACTCTTAAGAGTTTTTAAAAAACCATTGCCAATCAAAATTCAGGAAAATAAATGCTTTTTTATCACAAGAAAATCGCCTAAAAATATTAAAGTCTAAGGAGAACCAAATATTAAGTTTTTTCTTAACAGTCCTCAAATTATAACAAAAAGAGGTCATGGTTGTTGATCTTGTCCATCTCAGATCCAGAGAGGAGTCCCAGTTTCAGAGGTTAAAAAGAAAAATATCAAAAGTTTGATTCTTGTGCATGCAAGAGTAAATTGGGAGCAAGATAATCGTTTTAATTTTTTAAAATGTTTTGTTAATGATTCTTTATAATAAAAAAACGTGTAGAAGACGAGGAAGATACTAAATGCAGCTGTATTGGTGAAGATGCTGTATGCAGACATATTTAACTTTTTGATGTATTTATTCTTTTTTTTTATTTTAATTATTAAATTTTTTTAATTATTAAATTTTTGTTGTGTTAAAGATCAATTTCTTAATAAAAAACTTGGTTTTTATTGTAGTCTTTTCTTAATTCCCTATGTTTTAAATTTCCTTTTCGATACCTTTTTTATAATATAATTATAAAGAAGTTTATAGTTCGTGTAGATTAAATCCTTCAAAACATTTTAATTAGTTTTATTAAGCAACTGATCCATCTGAATTCAACCAAACATTTTCAAAAAAATCTAAGTATGTCTGAAATATTCAAATTAAGCTAAGTCCGAATTTCAACAAGGTTTATTTCGAGATTCTAAAGAGTTTCATTTTTTTTTTGTGCACGTAATTTAATTGTCTCTACTTGATAATGTAAAATTTTTTAAATTACGTAAATTTTAATTAGTGTAAATTTAACAAACACAATATTTTTGGAGCGCTAATTAAGCTTGGGCACGTTTTCCTTTGATTTCTCAAAATCAAATTACTCGGACTTATGGCGTTTTGCAAATGGGTTCCTCAATTGTTAAAAAAAAAACTAACTAACTAAGCATTTAGTTCTGTTTTTACTTTTTTAGAACTTTTAGTTTCATATTTCTTATTTTCTCAGTACTTATTTCATAGATTTCATATCTATATTGTTAAAAACCACTTATTTAAGTAATATTAATTATTTTTAGCAAAAAGTTTAAAAGAAATTAACTTTGTTGAACGATAAAAGTTTTATAACTTTTGTAGCATTTCCACATAAAATATTGTTAAGAAAAAAAAATTTTTGCATATGAATTCAATTCAGTTTGTTAATAAAATGTCATTTAATGTTATTTAAATAAAATTTTTATTGTCAATTAATACTATTGCTAATAATAAAAGATTAGCTAACAAGAACTATACATTGTTTTTTTATTTGTTCTTTTATCCCGTTTTTGTGTTCCTTTGCTCAAAAACAAATGTTTTTTAATGAAATTAAAAAGTTTATAATAAAATTGAATCATTTAGAAACTTTGAGTTCACCAGAAAGTTCTTCCAGAACTTCTTCTAAGAAAGGTAATTATAATGTTTGATTTATTTAAAATTACTCAACATTTACTTCTGAAATGTTTTGTGCCACAAAACATTTTAAATGTCAAGTACTTCGTTACAGTGTTGTACAAATAATATTTATTAATTTTTTTTTATGCTAAATGTTTTTCTCATGTCTTTTTGAATTAAATATTTTTTTTTTGTACTTTTAACTACAAAATTTAAAATCCTAAAAATGTAACATTTTTTATGATATATATATTTTTATGTTATCCTTTTTTTAGTTAGATATTAACTTTTTTTTTATTATGCCCTACATGCTTAGTTTTGCTGCTTGTTTTATTTTTGTTACAAATCAATAATTCTCTTTATGTCTTTAAATAAAGAAAATGCTTTAAAAGCTAGTTTAAAAGCTAGTTAAAAAATAGTTTCCTTTTTGATTTACGTTCATTACAATTTTTCAAAAAAACAATCTTTGAGAATTCCTTTTTCTGACAAGAAAATGTTCTCAATAAAATATATAACTGTCAAAAGAATCTAGTCTCCAGATCATGTTGATGCTAATAAAAATCATGGTATTAAATTATGGTTAGAAGTTTGTTCAGAAGACATGTTTTTAATTGTATTAAATAATTACACAGTAAATCATCACAATACATTGATGAAGTTCTAGATTACAGAAAATAACTTATTTAGAGATGATTGGATGTTTCAGTAAGGTGGTTATCAAACCTCATACTCAAATACCTCATAAACTTTCTCCAAAATTGTGTAACAATCGTTTTTTAGATTATTTGACAAAAATCATTGCCCAACAAATTCTCCCGACCCTTTATAAACTACTTTAAGACTAATTTGTTCACCGAATGGAGCAACTGGAGCAAAAATTCAAAAAAAAATTTAAGTGCAGAGTTAAAGCTAGCTGTGAAACTAATTGGATCTAATTGGGAAAGAAGTTGCACTGGAAACTTGTAATAAAAAACATCAGAGATTTTTGACATTAATAAACTAACTTTTAAAAGTAATTTTTTGAGAAAAAATTTAAATGGATAGAATGAAAAACTTACTGGATTGAAAGCAAAAAAAAAATGTTTGGTTCTTTATGTGCAACAAATTATGGGGATTTATACAAGTTAGTTTAGTTTGGTTACTTGTTCTATCATTGTTACTGATCATTAATTTTGTTTTATGTGTCAGTAGCTCATGTAAGTTTATATCATTGTTTGCAATATTTTAAATATTCCCAACTAATATTGTTTGGAAACTTAACTTAATGATAATAAAAAAAATTGAATTAGTTATTTCAATTTTTTTTAAATTGAGTTTTTTACTTTATTTTTTAGTTTATATTGATGAACTATACTTTTAAGAGGGGGGTTGTATCAACAGTGCTTAAAAATTTAAATTTTAAAAAATTATGTAGTGAATTTGTTTAAAAATAAATATAAATATTAGAAGAAAAAAAATGACTTTCCACACAAAGAGCATAACAATAGATGTTCTTGGTTTTTATAGTATTAGAGAAAGTTTCAGGATTTATAGCATGTACAGTTGCATGAAATGTATAAGAATTATCTATAAATTTTATCGATTTCACAGTTTAAAACTTGTGTTTAGGTTTTTTGTTAAGTTTTTTAAAATTTTATTTTAAAAACCTTCACAAAATAACTTAAAAAAGATCTTAGCCATTGAACTAAACATGCAAGATCATGTTCAGGATTCTTATTGAGTTTTTTGAGCATTTTTTACATACAATAATTAACATCATTAGCAAAATGATGTTTTAGAAAGTTTTACACATATGCAAGCCTTCCTGGGAAGCGTGTGCAGTCTCATGCTTTGTTTGTCCATGTTTAAAGTAATTTTTTAAACAATTTGATGTTTTTATATAATAAGCTTTTTAAGAATTTGGAAAAAATTAAAAAAAGAAACCTAAAAAAAGCAGATAAGAATATAACAAAAATAAAAACATTCTTTGATATACACTTTATTTGTGGCTTTTGTTAGTCAGCATATTAAGGAAATTATTTTTACTAAAAATATGGACAAATTTAAAGTTTTTTTCAAAAATGTTTTTGCTAAATTTCACTGTTTTTATCGATAAAAGCAGGAAATCAAGAAAACTAAATGCTATTTATTTGTAAAAAATATTTTTTTAATTTTTTAACAAGTTTATCATGTAAAAAAAAAAATCATTAATTCTAATATTCAAATATAAAATATTTGCTTGTTTTCACTACCCCCATTAAAATAGTCTGCACTTTTGTTGGACTCTCTAAATTGTGCATTTAAACCCAATAGTTTTTTTCCTGATGAACTATTGTTATTAGTGATGCTCCATGCTCCTAAACAAACAATCATGTTCATTATCTTTAGTATTTTTGTAAAACAATTTCAGACAGGCATCAAATGTGGTAAATACATTTATCAAAAAAACCATGCAATTCTTTTATTTAATTTTTTTAATTACAAAATTTATTATTCAAATAATAAAATTAAAAATAAATAGTAAACAAATAAATTTATTTTCTTATTTTCATAATACATAAGTATTGAGAAAAAATGACAAATATAGCAAAGTCATTTTTAAAAGCCAAAAGATATATAAACGCAAAAAAGAAAAATTAACAAAAGTTCTCATAGTTCCAGCGTACATAGCAAATTAATTTCTTAATTATATGGGCGGATAAAAATCATGAATAAGTTGCATATCAAAATTTTAAATTGTTATTAAATTGTTATAAAATGTTTCTTTCCTCAACTTGTATAAGTTTCTTTTGCTAAAAATAACAACCACCCTAAAAAAAAAAGAATACAAAAGCTGTATAAAAATTTAGAAAAAAATGTTTTTTAAATTTTTTTATTTCAAATTTCTAAATATTTCTAGTGTATTTAATTTAAATTTAATATTTTGTTACGAATTTGTTTACTTCTTAATGGCTGTTTTTTTTACTCAGTAAATAAGTTTAGCTTTTTAATGCGAATTATTAAATGCTAAAATATTAAATGACTAAAAAGTTAAAAGATGCAAACTGCCGTGGTCAATGTGTCTAAAAAAATTACTTCAAACCCACGTTTGAAGTAATTTTTTTAGACACATTGACCACGGCAGTTTGCATCTTTTAACTTTTTAGTCATTTAATATTTTAGCATTTAATAATTCGCATTAAAAAGCTAAACTTATTTACTGAGTAAAAAAAACAGCCATTGGTCGCCTGTGGTTGCACAACTTGTTTGTCCACACAAACAAGTTGTGCAACCACAGGCGCTTCCCGGGAAGGCTTGCTTTCCCAGGAAGGCTCTTCTTGTTTAAGAAGAGCCTTCTACACCACTACGCGTTCAATATATTCAATACTGAAGTTCAAGAAAGCAAAGACGCTAAAAATTAAGGAATGCAAATGCTGGTCTGCAAAACTGGTTAATGCCTAAATGGACATTGAATTGCAAAACATTACTTTAGCAAATCCATTTTATTTAATATAAAAAAGGCATTATTGAAACCTGTCTAAATCACACAAGTGTGGAAACATTTAAAAAAATCCTCTATTCAAAATTTTATAGTTTTGCAAAAAAAAAACTTTAATTTAAATGCTATATCTTTTCTCAAATCCTCTTTATCTAATGAAATTTTGTCTGTTGTTATTTTGTTTTAAATGAGTCTCAAATATTGGAATCATTTTTGGTTTGTTTTTCATAAAGGCTAACAGACATCTAAGGTCATCAATAAAGAATGTTGATATACTTATATAAGCAAGACTTGAAGCATTCTTATTTATTGAATTATTGTATTTAGTTGAGAATTTATTTGCACCATTTATGCTTGAGTTCATTATAAGAAAGATTTAAATATGGCAAAAGTGTTTTGCAAACTTGTATAACATTAATTGCCTGTTTCTGACATAAGATAAATGTAGCTATTATTAATTACATTTAGTATGGATCTATTTATTGCAAGAATTGCATTGTATTATTTTGTAATTACTTAACACAGATTAATGACAAATGCCACAAGGTAAACTTGACATCCTATATAATATATGGTCATTCCATATATTAGATGAGCCAATTATTTGAAAATTTCCTAAGTGGCTATCTCAGATTTTTTTGAAATTTACACCTGTAGATTTTGTGGTAAAAGAATTTCTCAAAAATTTCAACTCATTATCTTAAAACATTCTAAAATTATGTTAATTTAAAAATTAATGTCTTATTTCGAGTTGTTTATTTTCTTTTTCATAAAAAGTCTATTTTTTAAATCCATATAAATAAAAAACCAACTATCTTAAATACTTAAAAATCAATTTGATTGCAGTAATCTACCTCGACCCTTAAAGAAGAAAAAATAATTATTTTACAAAAGTAATCATTTTTGGCAATCTTGTACTTAAAAGTTATAAAAAAATATTTGAAGAAAAACTTCAATATTAATAAAGCAAATGAAATCAGAATACACAAGCAAATGTGAAAATTATGTTATTTTGTGAGAATATAGGCGGTAGTCATCATTAATGATAAGTTTGGTAATATTGGATTCAAAACTATAGAAGTTACACCCTCCTAAAAAAGCCAATCTTGAAATTTTAAAGTTAGATCCATTTAAGAATTGAGAATTAACCAATAAATGTAACACTTGATGTGTCCAATAAATTTAACACTTGAAATTTTTAAGAATGTATCTTCAAAATAAGAAGAATACAGAAAAGATACAGAAAAAAAATTTAGGGATGTCTTTTAGCTGCTGTGATAACTTAAACTTTCTATCAAAGTAGGATTTTGAAAATCTTATCAGCCTTTTTGATTTTGTTAATATAGTCAATATCTTTATAATTGTTCATTTATTCTTTTTAAAACAAAAAATTTAAAAAATAAATTTTAAAATAAAAATATAGGTACATAAAGGCTTATATTTTTACAATATATGAATAAATTTGAAAAAAAAAATAAATAAAAAATAAACTCAAAAAAAGCCAAGATATAAATCTCAATTACAATAAAAGAATGTAAAAAATAAAATTATAAATAAT